TGCTTCACTTCAGTACCTTCCTGAATACTGACGTTCCAAAACACAAAACAAAAAAATATACTTCAGGGTTTTATGTTGTGTTATATTCAAGAATATTTTTCTTGAGAAAATCTTTAAAAGGAACTTTATAAATTCCTTCAAAAATCTACATAGGCACACTGTATTTTAACTAAGTTCAAATATTTGGATGTCTTTACTTTTTGTTTCTCCTCTCCTCCTTACTTTTTGGTTTATGTGGTAAAGATGACTATGTCAAACTAGTTCACTCCTGTCTCTGTATTAGGCCCAATAATGCTCCACATTTAATACATATAATAACATATTTTACACTTGTGCTTACAGGGTCCAAAAATTATAACTCTGCTCTCTGCTTATATGAAAGACAGAATCTTAAAGAAGGAGGCTATATGATAATTATTCTACCTCATTAAAACAAAGAGGTAGAATTTATCTTACAGAATAATAAATAAGAGTTTGTTTAAACTTTGAATTATATTTCTTCATGTAGTCCTATAGGCTCCCAGGTTGATAGCAATATGTTTTAATTTTAGTTTACAATCTAAATACACAAGGCCCCCTCTACACCTTATAGGTATTGTGCAGTTAACAAGTTAATTGTACAATTACCTGGAGAGCAGCTACACATGCAAAGTAGCTGTCACACAATAAAAAACCTCCAATCAGCTATAAAGTTACACTTAAAAATGTGTACTATGTAACTGGTTGCTACTGAGTTTTAATTTGCATGTGTAGCAGGGACTCCCCTGTGGCTGGGAGCCCCATCACCTAACATGGCTCCCAACCCCAGGGATTTATTGTGCACAGTGTAAAACCCTCAGGCTCTGGGGATCAATGCAGCCACGATCCCCAAGGCTCAGGGGTGCATGAAACCCTGGGGGCTAAAGGATCACCATAGAGGTAATCCCCCACCCTAGGAGTGCATGGGACCTGTGACTGGGAGCCCCTCAACTGGGATTTGTGGGGCTCCTAGTTGCAGGAGTTTGCTTCTGGGTGGTGCAGGGGGAGCCCACTCCTCGGCATGGCTTCTTGCTGGTGCAGGGGGAGCCCAATCTTGGGCATGGCAGGAAGTGCCATTGTGGGATCACTCGTTGGATCTCTTCATACCTTATTGCCGGTGCAGGGGGAGCCCAATCCTGCATCAGCAATAAGGTGTACTGGGATCTAATATGTTATCCCACAATGGCACTTCCTGCCACGCACAGGTGGCATGGTAGGAGGGATGGTTGCGTGAATTGCACGTTAAGATTCCTTCACGCCTTTACCTGCATGTGCAGAGGGGACTTAAGACAGACAAATTATATGTGGGGAAACAAAGGTATAGAGTGATGAAATGTTTTGCCCAAGATCCAGATCACTATTGTTCAGATCACTGATTTTCCTTATTATTATTTTAGGTTCTGTTGAATGAAAAATGACTGACTTGTCCAACCCATTCAGGCAGCCTGCCTAAATTCTAATCCTCAGTTCTTGTGCCTCAAAATACATGCACTTTAATTAATATTACAGACTACATAGCTTGTGTCTGTAGATCTAAGATAAAAATGAAGTCCTATATTTTGACATAAGATGAAATATGTAAAATCCTTATATTGAACATGTGAATGTGCTCTGATGTTTCAGGGTCGAGATCTGGACTGTAAAATTCAAGAGTACAAAGAAATTGGGAAAATATTCACCGAATGCCAAATAGTAGAATGGTTTATACAGTTGGTACTTGGAGTCAACTATATGCATGAAAGGTACAATCATTTACTTTAATCTGAAAACACTTAAGCTTGATATAACTGAGAAGACTTCTATTTTCTAATTAAAGATGTTAAAATGGAAATTAAATCCTGCTGTTTATTTTGTTTCTGTGACATAAAACCTTGTACAGCTATCTTGAGTTACTACAGAATGTCTAAAGTAGTGACTGAGTATCTAGTGCATAAACATTGTCTTTTTGGTCCTACCCTTTAATACCACTGCGCATTTACTGTATCTTACAGTAGAATTATAATGGACATCTTTTAGAATTAAGCACCAAAGGCAGACCTTTATTTTCTAAAATCCAGGTGACAGCATTGAAAATGCACAGTACAATACAAACAGTTAATTCCTGACATTAAAGCAGACATTCAGTCATATTAGAGAAAGAAAATGTAATAGAACTGTTTCAGATATTAAATATAAAGAGCCAAATTTTATCATGGCATAATTCCATTGAAATCAATTAAATTACATCAGGGATAAATGTGGCCTGGTAATATTTGTTCTGGATTTGTTTTTAAAATACCCTGTTACTTTCATCACGATATCAGAGACATCACCTCAAATTTGCAGGTAAGTCAGGAAATTATGTTTAGAATCTCTAAGCGATAGGTTTATTTTCATAACTGAAGATGTAGGATCCATTCCATCAGAAGAAGGGAAATAGTCATTCTATGATGCCCTTCACAGTGCTTATTTTAAAGCTTTTTACAAGGTCCATTAGTTCTTTTTATTATATGTGGAAAAAGAAATAAGAGTTCTTCTACAAGCTTAATAGTCTTACCTAGGTTGGAGAAAAATGGCAAGCTATATCTCTTTGCTCTCCCTAACACATTTGTAACATGCCACACATCTGCACATTGTTCCCACCAGTATGAAGACAACTGAAGTACTGTTTAAATTGGACTTGCTTTAAGCATGTCTAGCCACCTTGTCATCTTCCATCCATGCAATGTCTGCTAGTTCAGTTCCTGTATAAACTATCATTTTGGTTAATTAACATTTAACAAATGGTCCCCCCACAGCTGGAGCATTAAATCCCGCTTACAATAATTTGTCCTGTCCACTTTCCACATTACTCTTGAGAGGGGGTCAAGTTTGACTTAGGGCAACTCAATTTACTTAAAGTTAGGAATGAGCTAACACATTTTACTTAATCATAATCAAGAGTGCTCAGCACTTTTTGGATCTGAAACCTAGAAGAGCAGTGGGGGGAAGGGAAACGAAAGGCTCTTTTTCAAGTGTTTTCCCCCAGAAATTCTAGAGCAACGAGCAGTTAGCTGAGCTTTCAGTACCTTTCAGGCCTTGCAAGTGTTAAAGTAAAGGAGCGTGGCAAGAAGCATGATTGTGGGCTCCCACATCAGATTACATTGTGCCATATTGCCAGTGTAGGGAAGCCTGATCCTGAGCTCCCCCTGCTCTGACAAGTAGCAGGCTTGGCTCCCAGCCACAGGAGCACACCATGCACTCATGTAGCGGGGCGTTCTGTTAGCCCATGGGGGTTTCCAGCTGGGTGTGCTCCCTAGGCTGGAAGCCTGATCAACTAATGAGGCTCCCCGCTGCACGGTGCACTCTCCTGGCTGGAAGCCTGATCATCAGACCAGTACTCCCAGTTCGGGGAATGCATGGTGTGCTCCCCCAGCTGGAAGCTGTGATCAGCTGACCAGGGCTGAGCTCCCAGTCAGCTGACTGGGGCCTCAGTTGTGGTGGCCCTAATCAGCTGAAGAGCCTCCCAGCCTATGAAATACATGGGAGTCTTGACAGGCTGGGCATTGGACACGTGTTCAGTTAATGAGATGATAAAAACCAGCCATAAAGTTATTACACATATTTTGTGTACTAGCTTTATGGCTTATTACTTATTTTATCACTCCATTAATTGATTGACTGTGTGGCCAGGACGCTACTAAAGATGTGATTAACCAGTTAAAATGTCTTAAGTATAACGTCTGTCAGGGGCCTTCTCTTCCCTTTCTCCCTGTTTGTAGCTGTTGGCAACAGTTGGCTGTTGGCTTGTTATAGACTCCTGTATAGAAAATGTCTATATTTATGCTTAAATTCCCAGAATATTTCCTCTTGCAATGTCCAGCGATTTGGGCCAGTATCCATGCTGGTCTTTTTAGGGATAAGAATTCCCTTTTTGCAGGGAAAGTGCTGCTTTTCAGTTTACCAAAGCATTGCTTTCCAGCTATCTGTCTTAGTTAGAAAGTAAAGGGGATTGAAATGAAAAATATACATGTCTCATTTAAATAGTATATAATAAGGATAGGCTTTATAGGACAGGGGTGTGGCTATCATGAATTGAAGTTTCAAGATACTGAGAAAATGCATCTTCCATGATCTATGATGTTTCTTAAATACTTGAAGAAGAATAACATAAAACTGGTTGATGGCTTACTGTCTTTCTGTCCCTCTTTCTCTGTGTGTTGTGCCGCTGTGTAACATGTATATAATATATATAATCTTACATTGTTATCATGTTGTATACGCAGAGAATGATTAGATGTATTGCCTTTGAAGAAGTAAACGTTCCTTGAGATTGAGTTCTCAGAGCTTCTTTATTTTCACTTTTTCTATTCTGTGGTATCTCAGGATGATTATCTTTCTGCCAGAGCACACAACATAGCTCCGTGTGAACAGCCAGATGGGGAAAAAGCAACACATTTTGTTCTCTTACACAAGGGACTGAATAGATTGCTGCTGCAACTTACCTAATTTTTATGATTATTCTCAAATTGGGTTACCTGCAGGCATTGGTATGCCTGTTTCATGACTGTTCTCTAATTGGCATACCTTCACCCTGATCCTGTGCCTGGGTATACCTCTAGATTTATGTGGAGCCCCACTGAAATCACTGGACTTTTGCTGAGATCTCACAACATGCCTGCAGTCTGTTATTTGCAAAATTAAAGTTCACTGGCCAGCAGTAGCAAATTGTTAATGAAAGAAAAGTACACATTAATTGAATATGACTGTTATTTCCTTGGGTCAGATAAAGTTGTATTTCCTCTTACGTTTCAGGCGAATACTTCACAGAGATTTAAAAGCCAAAAATATTTTTTTGAAAAATAATCTTCTTAAAATTGGTAAGATATCCCTGCTTTCTTTTTGTATGATTTATAATATAGAATTCTAGCATATATTTGATAAATAAGTCAATTTTTAATTAGTTGTTCACTAATGGTTTCTAATTCAGTTGATTGCTTTTTCTCATTTCATTTAAAACTATGCTAATACAACTGCCTTTTTTTTTAACCTGGCAGTGCTAATTCTTAATGCTTAACTACTTAAAAAGAACACAAATTCCAAGACATCATTTTATTTTGAACCTGTTGCAGACTAGAAGAACATAATATGTGTTTTTACAAAACTGATTCATATAATATGAATAGATCTGTCTCCATGTTTCAAAAATTTTTACAAGAATTTTGTTGTACAGTCTTTTTATTATGCCTACTAATGACAATTCCTTATACATAATT